TATCAGATGAACACAGAACTGCTAACACCAAAGGTGAGCCTCAAGCTAACAGGGCTTGCCTACATCAGACCATTGGTTGGTTTGTTTTGTTTTTGTAAACAAGGAGGCCAGATGCAGCCCTGGTTGGTTTGAGTATTTTGAACATCAAACAAATTGTCTCCTTTAACTATATTCAAATGTAACCTGACCTAAAGGTACAAGCCTTCAGTCCGGGCACTCAGAGAGCAGAGTTTGAGACCAGCCTGGTCTACATAGTGAGTTCAAACCAACGAGACAGAATTAAATGTATATCCCAGGCAGGATCTGAACCCAAAACCTTCCTGACTCAGTCTCCCAAGATTCCAGACACATACCACCTGTCCAACTAAGATGCTCTGTCATGACTGATAATGACCCAATGAAGGTCGCCGTCCTGAGTGGCATTCCAACTTCACACACTGCCATCTTGAAGTACAGAAGCCCCAGTATCTACCATGATAAGCTTTGACAGAGGACCGTCTAAGAACAAAGTCCCAGGGGCTGTAGTTCAGCGGTGGGGTGCAGCTCAGTGGTGGGGTGCAGCTCAGTGGTGGGGTGCTGGCCAAGGACATGCATGGCCATCCCCAAAGAACAGAGAAACAACAAACAAAGCAGTGTCAGCCGGAAGCCGAGCAACTGCTACCTTAAAACAACGAACAGAAAGTCCTAAGGCTGTGCTGGTCCCCCTTTCCAGATAACGTCAGAGGCCTGGGTGCACTTCAGCTCCACCCTTCAAGCACGGGGAGAGCAGTGTTCCCCTGGGAGACTCGGCCTGTGGCGAGAGATGGAGAAGCTTGTGTCGCTCATCACATGGACATCTTCTGCTTCTTTTTCTTGGCCTTCAGCACAGGAGGAAGGGAGATCTTAAAGGCTGTCCTGGAATGATGGAGAGGGAAGAAACATTTCAGGGCTGGGAAGCTCTCGGGAACCCACTCCCAGTCAGCACCTACGAAGATACTCACTCGCACGTGGTGCAGATGGGGCTGAAATTGCAGAAAACTGTTAAAACAAACAAACAAGGAAATAGGGATTTGAAAGCCAGATTACTTTCTGCGCCACCCCCTCCCCCAACACAGACAGTAAGAAAAACTACATGAGCTTACTGGACAGACACACGGAGCAGACATAGCCAATCTCAATGAGACTTCGGTGACAGAAGCAGGCAGCCCTGTAGTCCACATGGATGGGAGGTGGGAGGATTAGCTGAGATCGCTGATCTTGATCCGGAAGAAAAACCCACTGTTTGAAAAACAGAAAGAAAGAATAGGCAAGGAATTTATAATTAAATCACAGGAGGAAAAACAGCAACAGTCCAGACACAGACAGCAGCCTTAGCCAATCAGCACACACAGACAGCAGAGCTTAGCCAATCAGCACACACAGACAGCAGAGCTTAGCCAATCAGCACACACAGACAGCAGAGCTTAGCCAATCAGCACACACAGACTAGCCAATCAGCACACACAGACAGCAGAGCTTAGCCAATCAGCACTGAGGAGAATACTAACTCAAGACTGTCCTTTAGGGCTGGCAAGATGGCTCAGTGATGAAAGGTACTTGCCACCAAGCCTGATGGATGAGCTGAGTTCCATTCCTGGGACCCACATGGTGGAAGGAGAGAACTGACTCCCGAGAGTTGTCCTCTGCCCTCAACATGCACTCAGTGGGAAGCATGCACCCACACACATACACAAAATAAAAATAAAAATAATTTCCTTCAAAGCCTATTAAGATTCATTTTTATTCATGCCACAATTTTTTAAAAAAATTTAATTTTTCATTTAACTTGTGTGCTTGTATGTGTATAAGCACATGCATGTGGCAGTCAGAAGACAACTGTAGGAGCTGGTTCATTCCCTCCACCATGGGGTCCTGGAGCTCGAACTCAAGCCATCAGGCTTGGCAGCAAGCCCACTTACTCACTGAGCCATGCTGTCAGCTCACTCCACACTTACTAAGCACTGTGCTATACAATCATGTGACATCTGCAAACAACCTCCAGAGTTCAGAGATCTGGAAGTCCACCCTTCTCAGCCGGGAACTCTGAAGCCACCCTCTCCCAGCAACTTCTTCTCTGGGATGCTAGAGGTGGTGGGCTGCTGCCGCCGCTGCCGCATTAACTCACCAGTAGGTACTGCAGGAGAGAAGGCATCTGAGGCACCTTCAGGTACAGTCCCCCTGTGATGTCACAAGCCTGCAAGACAGAGCGGTCACTACCGAAGCAGAACCTCGGCATTCCCAGGGGAGGGGTTCATGGGGGACTCCACAGTTGATAAGGTCAGCTGGTGTGAGGTCCGTGTACTCGTTACTGTCCACGCTACAGACACCACACAGCTCTGCTCCAGATTCCCAGGCTACAGGACAGATTGTGTCTCTTTCTCACGAGCTGAGCTCCTAGAGAAGGTGACAGATACGATAGGCCCCTGAAGGCATGACTCTGCCCTCTGCGCCATGCAGCGTATGCTGAGCTTCCCAATGCTTT